AGTGAAAGCAAGCAACAGATTTTAGCTTCATTATATCTGGAAGTTATGGATGCTTGCTTACATTTATTTAGCCAGCCTGAGATGCTATCAAGTCTGAATTATCTTTTGTTGTTTTATTTCTATGAAAAGTAATATAAACGCACACATATACATATATACACATGTGTACCCATGGTAACATATCTAGGTAACATACAAAGTAACATATGAAAGCTAATGGGTTTTGTGCATGAATAATTGGGAATAGAAATGAACCTATCATTAAGTAGTACAAATTATGATGAAATAGGCACATCAAAATGGACTCTCAAACTTGCAAACTACTTTGAGACAAAAGCAAAAGAAAAAAAAATTATAAGCCTGGTTTGCCTTTATATTGAGTCCCCAGAGCTGCTAAGCAGCTCCTCAAAAGGCACATTGTCTGGGATGATCGAAGTGGCACCTTACCCTGAAGCTGCCGCAAACTTGCAATCTCAAGTTTATTAGACCAGCTTTAAAAACAACATTATTCTTGGATGCACAAGTTGAATGTTCAAAATCCAAGTGAAAATAATTTTCATTTACACTCATCCTACTTGCTTGAATTAGACTAAATGCATCTGTTTACTAAGACTTTGTAATGCTTTGGATATTGAAAATTTACAACTATCAAACCTCGGCATGTGGAGAAAGGGAAAGTAAAGAGAAGCACCCCACGGCCTCCTGAGGCCGGACCTCGGGCCAGAGGCTGGCGGAGAAGGCAGAGTAGCAAGAAGTTGCCAGCTGCATTTCCACTGGACAGATCTGGGGAGAAATCAGGAGAAAATGACTGTGTAAGACTGACATCATAAACATGATAGCCTCGGATTTATTTTCAAAACATTTGACCTTAGGCATAGTTGTGGCCCAAGGGCAAAACCCAAGTTTTTCTTCCAGGAAACTTACTTGTCACAATGCTCATCAACATGCAAATTTTCTAGGTCTCCTTGTTGATAATTTTAGCTTACTTTTAAAAAAATATTATTTACTTTGAATAACATAAAGTGATAGCAAATAGACAAAAACAAAACCAAAAAACCCCCCTGAACTTGAGTAATACCCAATGGAATTACCTGAGTGCTATTACTGTCCCTGAATGAAGCAGAATTTGATTTGAGTTTATGACCAAATTAATTGTATAGCCTTATTAAGTATAGGGGGAATTTTTTAAAAAAGAGTATGCGTTCTTGCATATTGTTCTGATGTCCCCGATTTCCTGTTTTACCAAATAAAAATTGGAAGGTAGGAAAAAAGCATTAAATTAACTCATTACTGAGTGAGAGAAAGAAAAAAAATCGGCTAATAAAAAGAAGAAGGTTAGCAAGCCGGTATGATTATATAATGATTTCAGGTGAAAATTACAAAGCTAATATCCTGGCGTGTAGTCACTGCTTTCAGTAATGATACAGTTGTCAAATTCGTATTTGTGCCAATGGAACAAAGTTGTAACGGCATAATAGAAGATAATCTCTTTTTCTTTGTGGCTTTTTTAAATTCAGTGTTTTAATCCACCCATTTAATCACAAAACATATATCAAATTAGTTATAATATTTATAGCATTTAGGATGGTGATTATAAATAGATTATAGTGTGGTGGTTGGATATGGTCTTTTTTTTTTCTTGAATGTATCTCAAAGCTATGCAGAGTTTGTAGAGTGTGTACTTGAGAACAGTTTTATGTGAGGAGAGTAACCATATTTTTATGTCCAGAATCTCCATTTGGTTATTAACAAGCTTGCTCATTATTTTGGAAAAACAAAATTTGGTATTAAAAGGGCCGGGTGATGTTTAGCTCTCTACATTCTGCCTGGTCTCTAAAGCATCTTTGTTCTTCTGGAGTTGCTAAACTTGCTAAACCACAAAATATCTTTAATATGTTTTTTTAAAGTAGGTGAACCATACAGTCAAGATGGGGTGAAAGGGGGATTTATAATGGCAGTTAGCGGTTCAGTTTTTCCTCGGTGAGGCCGGAGTAGGATGGGTTGGCAGGCACATCTGTGGGACTTTTGGGGACTGCCCGACACACACTCATCTTTCAGGAATGTGTTCTCTTACCCCACACTTCCTAGTTTGGACTGAAAATTTTAATAGTGAAGAAAATTATAAAGGACTGTGCTAGACAAGGTTGTTTCCCTGCCGCATTGTTAGGAGGTGGGCACGGCACTCCCGAATGTTGGGCTGTAGAAAGAGCTGTGTCCTTTCCAGAGGAAGGAGTGAGAGCTCCCGGCTTCCAGCTCTGTGCCCATAGCCCTTGAGACTGGGGGGCCACACTCAGGAAAAGAACGAAACCCACCTAACTGTGAGACACTGTGAGTTGCAGACGGCTGTGGAAAGTGAAAGTTGGTCAAGATTCTAATAAAAAGATTAACTGGAACATTTCGACGCCATTTTCTAAAACAGAGTTTTCTAATAGGAAAAACCAAAAACAAACAACAAAAAAGTTGTCCCTAGAAAGAAGAGGCTGTGGCAAGATTTTAGCCCCCCCCCCCAAGCAATTTGGGAAGTTTTCTGGGTTTTTCCTTTCCCTCCCCCCAAATTGTGCATGTCATAGGTGGTGGCAGTGGTGTGTGTACAGGGAGCGTCTAACACAATTTAAACTGGGGTCTAGGACGCCTTGGAAGGCAGGTCAGTGGGCAGCCCAGGCCCTGGCAGACCTGCCCATCCCAGCCTTGCCCAGTGGCTGGTTCCCCCTTTCCAGACAGTCCGATCCAACGTGAAACGCAGTTTCCTGGGAAGCAGGGCACGCGAGAAACTTTTGAATTTACCAATGGCATAAAAAGTATATATATTTTTATGACAACGGCCAAGTTTCAATTGGTTGGCAGAAATGGCGAGATGTGACGTCAAGGGGCACTGGTTAGAATGCCAAGGCCGGCAGCGGGGATGAGGGGGTGGGGAGAGACAAGCACAGAGAGACATTGGGATAGAACCCAGGAGGCCGTGTTTCTCTCGGGCCCTGACCGTCAACAGGCTATCGCAGGCTTCTGGGGACAGTCAGGTCCATGTGGCTTTGAGCCAAGACATGTTTGGGCAGGGGGAGCAGATCTGAGAACAGTGACCCTATGTCCACGTGCGTCCCTAAGAGTTGGAGGCCCAGGCTGGCCCCTCTGTGGTTTGGAAATCACTCAGGTGCCCCTGCGGAGCAGGCAGGAAAAGACGCTGTGGCCTCCTTGGCACTCTAACCAGTGTCCAGACCCTGGAGCCCGGCCGATCCTGACCCCTGGGAGGGGCCCGGGAAGGAACCGTGTGGCTCACGGCCAGCAGCGTCGCCATCGGGCTACGAGAGACCAGAGCCGCGGCCTTGAACTTCTCCCCGCAGCTCCTGCGCCCTGAATCGGGGAAGCAGGAAGTTGTTTCCACGGGGAAGGAAGAGAGTGAGCTCGGAGCTGGGCAGCTGCACCATGCCCCAACCCATCCCACGCCTCCCTGGGCACTGTGAGCGCCCCCTCTAACTCTGCCAGACACCTTGCGTGCCCCTCTTACATCTCTGGGCACTATGCGCTGCCCCCACACCCCACTCGCCAGATCCCGTGCGGCCAGCCCCACCCCCAACCCACTGGGCACCGCGCCCCTTGCTCCTCCGAGCCAGCGGTGTCCGGGAAGCTGCCGCGGGGTCGCCCATGAGCGCGCTCCTCCTAGAGTAAAGCCTGCTGCCACTGTCGGCCCCGAGCGCTGTCCCGGGGCCTCGTCTGGCTCCCACGGGGGCGAGCCCGGGGACCCTGGCCGCTATCCACGGCGCGCACTGGGCTTCGCGCGCAAGGCTGCCAGCAGGGCAGGGACCGTCGGTCCGCCTGGGGACCCCCAGCCGGGTCCGAGCGTGCGCGCGCGCCCCGCTGCCCGCAATCATGGCAGCCGGCGCCTCGGAGCGCAGCCGCCAAGCGCGCCCCAGCAGCCGCCTCCGTGCCAAGGCGACGGGAACGGGCCAAGGGCTCGCGCCCGCCCTCTCTCCTCTATCGCTTGGGCCCTAGGGCAAGAAGTGGAGGACAGATGGGCCTCCGCGGCACTGTGCCTCTGCCCGGAGAGGGCGGGCGGGGCCGCGGGGCGGGGGCGCGCTGGTGGGGAGAGCCCGGGGCGGCGTGCCCGCGGGGACGCGCACGCGGGGCTGCGGGGCGAGGCGCGGGGCCCGGGTGGCGAATCCGCTGCTCATGCCTACTGCCCCGCCCGCGCGCGCCGTCCCGGGGCGGGCGGGGGGTGTTACCCGGGAGGGGCGGTGCCCGGTCCTCACCCGCAGCGGGCACGGCGGGGGCCGTGGGCGATCTCGTTGGTATTCCGGGTGCGGCTGTAGCCCTGACCTCTCGGTGCAACGGGGTGCCGGGCTCGCGGGCACGGCCGCCGCCCTCGGGCGGTCTCTCCCGGCTGCAGGGCCCGCAGGAGCCTCGCTTACCCCGTCCCCTCCTCCTTGGGTCCCCCGTACCCCCTCCCCCGCTCCGATCCGGCGGCGAAGGGGTGGGCAGGGAAACGCGCTCTCTGGGACAGGTGCCAACTCCGAGACAAAAGACATAAAATAGGCGGCAACGGGGGAAGCGCGGCCGGCGCGCTCTCGGGCGGGGACTGCGGCGCCGCAGGGGCCGCATCCTCGGTGCCGACCCGGGAAAGTTTGGGAAGTCGCCGCGGCGGCTTCGCAGTGGCTGGGGACGCGCGGCCCGGGTCGCCCTCCGCGCCGCGCTCGCCCTCTCTGCGCCGCTGCTGAATAATTCATGGCGCGGCCGCCGGCCATTAGCATGCACCGGGCGCGCGGCGCGTCTGTGCCAAGCCGCCGCCGCATTCGGCGCCCGGGCAGCGCCAGACGAGCGGCGGCCGGGCCCACGCTGTCCCCGCGCCTGCCCGCCCGGCGGCGCCCATTGTGCTCCGAGCCCGAGCCGCCGGGCTGTCCCTAAACCTGCCCGCAGCCTGCCGCACGCCCGACGGCCGGGCTCTGCAAGTTCAGGCCCGCGCCGCCCGCCCGCCCGGCGGCCCCGGAATGCCAGTGAACTTGGAGAAAGTCGCGCGGCGTGTCGGCCGGCCCTCCGCGGCAGGGCGTAGGCGCACCCGGGCCAGCGCGCTTTCGTTTTCGTCTGGGACAAAGGTCCCTCACGGCGCCGGTAGCGGACCGGGTCCTGGGGGCCGCTAATCCACGCAGGCCAGTGGTTCAATTCAAGGAAGCAGGAGCCCGAAGGAGAGGAGCGGGCCAGTTCGCAGCGCGCCGCGGGGCCGAGGAAGTGGGGCCTGGTCCGTGCGCTTCGCCGGCGCCCGCCACAGCCATACCACCTTACCGAGAGTTGCGGTAGCTGGCACCACTCTGCTCTCCTCCGCTGCGACGCAGGAAGGAGAGAAGTGTTTGGAACCCAGGACTCAGACCGATGGCCGCAGGCCTATGCAGCGGTGGCCACTGTTAGCGCAGCGCTGGCTGCGGCGAGGCGCGGCGCGGTCTTCCAGCAAGGGCTGGGCTGTCGAACTGTGCGTCCCGGGTCAGAAGAAGACTCCTGAGGACGGTAAGTGTATTTCTCACTTTCACTACTTAGTGTTTCAGTATCAATGAAGGGACTTCTAAGAGGGGCTCCGCTGTAGGGCAGGCCTTCTTCCGTGGACTAGGGAACACACATTGGTTTTGAACTTAAAGAAGCAGCCTGCAAGAACTCCACGGTCTTCATTTATCTGGATCTTGGGATCTGTGAAATACGGCTTTACTCTCAGGTGTGCAGTTTATTTGCCAGAGAGAATTGTGTTGAACACATGTAATAAGCGTTAGCAGGCATCTTAAACACAATGAAAAGAAAAGAGAAAACATCTGTTTTTCGGTTAGATCTGTTTGGGAAGGTTATTAGGAATCTACAACTGTTTCTTGGAAAACTGAAAATTTTTTTTACTTCCTAAACATATGCTACTACTTTTTTTTTCTGCTGGCTTGACACTTGGGGAGATCTGATTTTGGGGGGAGAACCCTTGGTCTGGCGTTGGTGGCATTTGGTTGAGTGAAAGGGCCCGTGTGGAAGCTGTTTATAGTGGCATAAAATGAAAACAACTCATAACTTTTCATAATAAATGCCCCTTTATAGGTGGCTCACACACAGGCTGGGCCACTGGCCCTGGGGAGTTTGTAGGGAGTGAGAAAGGGCTGAGGGAATGCTTGCTGGCCATAATCAGAAGGTTTTAATGTAACACTGAAATAAATTTCTTCAAAGTTGGGTTTCAGAAGTCAAGGCAGGTTAGCAATAGCTTCATTTTATTTTAGTTGTTTGGGATTTTAGGAAAATGTGTGCTGTACATACGTGTACCTATCCTGGGTAAAAATGAAACTGGAGCTGCAGGGGATTAAGCCTACTTTTTAATTGCTCTACAGGTGCGATTTCCCCTATACTCTTCCCCAGCTTATTGATGTGGTTTGGATAACCTTGCTGGGGGCTTTTGCCACAAAATAATGGGGTGAGGAGGCCTGTTTCCATAACAGCCTGGAGTCATGAGCTGGCACTTGGGAGGCTGTTTCCGGGAACATGGACTAAGGCCTGAATAGTCGAGGCTAGCCTCATGGCTCCCTCTCCCTGGGCACTCTGGTCTACCCATCTGGGGAAAGAACCTGGAGGAATGAGGGGATCATTTCAGCAGAGTCTGGCCGGCTATGGCCAGAGGCTGAAACTTTGCTTCACAACTTGAAGAACTATCCTTGGCCATCTTTTTGCTTAGACTGCCCACGACCCCCCCCCCCAATGCTTTATCCTTGCCCTGATGTGAGTTTTAATTTATGACTTTATCAGAGGTCATTAGTGGACATGAAACTTGGGATGGGACATTTAGGGGTGTTCTCAGATTCAGGGGCGCAGTTTTAGGTGTGCTGCTGCAGATGGGAGCCACTGCCTGGCGTGGCATTGGTGGCGATACGGTTAGTAAAGCTCAAGTTCCACTGAGGTCTTCTCTGCATAATGCCAGAGATGTTTCCACCAGTCCACAGAATGCTGGTAAGGTGGTGTCCAGTGGGCAGGAATGGTGCTGTGTTCTGCAGAGGCCTTTCGGCATGCCCCAGGATTCAAATGGACCGTCTCTTCTTCTCAACAGGCGGGATCCAGGCTGGCAGGAAAAGGCTGAGCTTCCGAGGAGGCAGTCTCGGGCCACTTAGCAAGGGCTGCTATTCACCAAGCTCCAGAGTCCCATCTCCTGCCACAGAATAAGCTGCTACAATGAGCTTGTCGGAGTAGCAGAACCTTCCTACCCTACGGGGTAGAGATTATGCAGCAACAGTGGAGCCAGCCCAGAGGACGGAGGCCCTGCCTGGCCCTGGGAGACCCTGTCTTGCCTTTGTCCACGTTCCTTACAGCCAGTTCAGTTCAGATGGAGACAGGCTCCTGAAAGGGGCTTCTTTCTATGTTAGAAGAGCCCATCCCAGCAAAATTCATTTTTGAGGGCACACACAAAAGAAGAGGCTTTGAAAATGAAACTTGTCAGTTTTTTATTACTTCTGTATTTAATATAAAGAATGTGGTAAGCAGGGGGCCAGAGGCACATGGACAGTGGTGTGGGCTGGTGGGAGGATAGTTTTCTGTTTTGTTTTAAACCAGGGCCAACCTCAGGATGACCCTCGGCTTATGCTGGGGCCTTGCCATGCCCAGACCCTCCCAGATAAGGAGTTCCCAGGTGCTAGCTGGGCTCAGCTCAGGACAGTGTGTGACAGTGGGACCTGGCCCCTCCATATCAGCTAAGTCTCATGCGTGCTGCTTGAACAGGTGCTGGCCAGCAATTTGCTTTGCTCAACAGGATCAGTGTGGTGCTTTGCAGCAGGGTTACTTTTCATGTGTGCTTTGCACCTGGCCAGAGCAAACTCTCTGTATTAAACCCGTCTTACTTGCTCCTGTCCCCTGAAGGGCACTGGGGCCTGTCCCAGGCCCGTGTGAGTGAGGCCTGACCTGAAAGCATTCTGTGTGGCACAGGGAAAGGTGGGCAGGGTTTGTCCACCCAGACCTTGTGCCCAGGCAAACCTCTTGCTTTGACTGAGACAGTCAATGTTTAGCAAAGGAAGGGGCCCTTCCAGGCCAGGCAAGAAACATCTTAAAACTACCCTGTTTTACCTGTGTATTGTTGCTGGGTTTTGAAAGTTATTTGCATATTTGCAGAGAAAAAAGCATACTTCTGCAGAAATCTCCATAAGCTAGTGTGTCCTAGCTTAGGTCAGGGCTTCAGTCTTTCCCTGCCCCTGGCTCACTGTGTGACCCTACACAAGTTACATCACCTTTCTGAGCCTATATCCTGAGCTCCAAAGCAGGAGAAATACTACTGACCTCAGAGGAGTCAGACATTTCCACGCACAGTTCTCAGTGTGTGGTCATCAGGAGGCCATAAATGGTTACTGCTGTTGTTATTGTTATAAATGACAATTGGTGGGGTTTTTTGGTAATTATTATTGTAGTTTAATATCATTTTATATTATTTTCTAAATAACAGAGAATCCAATTTTAGTTTCCCGAGAAAAGGCACCAAGAAGTTTACTTTTCCTGCCCCACAGGTGGTAGCAGAAGTGGACCTTGATGGTGTTGACAAGGTAGACGAGTAGGATTTTGAAAGGACAGCATGTTCCTGGACACAGGGACTCAGTGTGAAGGTGATTGCCCAGCTGCACCTGAACTTCATATTGGGCACATGGGATAAGATGAGGGTCTGTGTGGGAATTCGGGAAGTGCTGATGGAGGAGGTTACCCTTCCCAGCGGCAGGATGGGAAGCGCACCTGGGTGCTGGCCTAGGGACCTGACATGTGCTCTCCCTCTTTAGGGGTGGGGAAGGACAAGGGCAGGAGATCCTGATGCAAGGTCCACAGTGGCCACACCAGCCACCAGCATCCTTGCTGGAAATGCAAGTAGAAATTCGGTAGGGAGGTTTTGCCACTCTGACAAGCTCATTGTTCTTTGACCTATTACAAGAGTATTTATCAAAATGCTTGCTTTGGAGAATTTTATCTCCTAGCTGGTCATTTAGGAAGACCCAGCAAGATTGCCCTTTCTCAAAACATCTTGTCGGGACAAGAACGAACCCTAAATGGCATTGGTCATGCTTTATGAGGTTGTAGATCCGAGGAGGGAAAAAAAGCAACAATTGTCTCCAAGCAGAGACAATAGATCTTTTATACGATATATTTATTTCCAGGCCTGACCAGTGTTCCTTTGGCTGGGACAGTCCGTGGAGCTGGAGTGTCCGGGTGTCGTGGGCCCTGAACATGTAGTCGGGCATGGAGATTTATGGAAGAAAAAGGGAAGTGTCTCGACCCAGAGTTTCACCCATGGTTCTTGGGAGATTTCAGTGAGAATGTCTGGTTTTCTTTGTTGAGAGGAGTTTAAACTTTCACAAGTTTATTTATTTTTTTCTTCTGTGATCTTTTTTAAAGACTGCAGGGGCATGCTTTCACGGATGGAAAGGCAGCTAGGTTTTGGATTGTGGTCAAGATGGGGGTCCCCCTTGGGCCAGGCCTGGTCAGCCTTTGTTAGCTGGGTCCTGAAATGGAAGTGAAAGAAACAGGGACTAGGAAAGGAAGGGTCTGTCCCTAGAGGGTTATGGGAGGCCATCGAAAAGCAATTTTGGCCAGTTTTTGGTTTTCCAGGGTTGCTTACTCTTGCCTAAATCCCATTCTCAGATGAACTTGGGAGTAGCCTATAGGTTATGGGAGAGATGGCCTGGCTTGGGGAAGCCACGCACGGGCCCTCAAGGACCCTTCCTGGCTGGAGAGGGTGTTTCTTGTTATTGTTGGTTTTTATTTGTTTTAAACTCTCAACAAACGTGGCCCAGAGTTAGGGCTCCATGAATATTTTTTGGATTAATAGAATGAACAGAATTTCACCCTGAGGCCTACACATGCACCCTCCTGCCTGGCCTCTTCGCTGGCATGCTGCTGGCAAGGAGCGGCTACCCGGCAGCTCTTTGGTGGCTCTTGAGTTGCAGGGAGGGGTCCTGCAGCCCACAGCCCTGGGAAGCAAGGCTGGAGCCTGGGCTCCCACGAGACTGGAGGAGCTGATGGTGCAGGGGCTTGTGCTGAGAGCTTGTGGGGTGCCCGAGGAGCACTTCTGCCACCTTAGGGATTTTGGTTTGGACTCCCTGCTTGACCCTGGAGGAGGGCAGACAAGGGAGTGGTCCTGATCAGAGTGGAGGATGCGGGACCCTGCCTGTCACAAGGCATTGTCGTCATTTTGTTGGCAAATAATATTTGGCTTCAAAAATGAGGTTTTATTTTTAAAAACTGCTGTCACATCTTTTATTTTTTTTAAGTGCTGGAACCTCATAAGTTGGTCTGTTTTTCTTTCTACATTAACCTGCCTGAAAGACTGTGATGAGGAGAGCCGTCTTTTGGGGGTGTCCAAGATAGCTTTTGAGGCCCTGGGTAGAACTGATAAAATTGAAATCACAGAAAATAATGAAATCCTGTGACATGGAGCAGAAAACCCCTAAAACTAGGTTTCTGTTCACTTTTGTGTGTATTTTGGGGGGTGGTGGAAATAAAATTCAGCACAGTATTATTGT